ACCTGTTTCATGTGTGTCATGGAAAGAAACATGGAAAAATGGCTGGGGAATGGATAGAAACCTGTTAGAGGCTGTAAAATACTTCAGATTTACTTTCAAGCAGGAAAACGATCCTCATTATAAAGGCATAAGGCATAAAGGAAACCTGCAACATATACAATATGGTGGGTAAATGTCACTAAAACATGAAGTGTGACTCCCAAAATAAAAGTCTTGGTTTTAAAAATGTCTTTTAACTTCACTGCAAAAATAGACCCCAGTTTGTAATATTGCTATACTACATTAATGATACATTGTGCAACTCTAGTAAAAACAGAATCAGTGTTCAAATAACCCACTCAATGTTTAGCCCTTAATCTGTGAAAAACCACACCACAAACCTGCTTTTCTAAGATGCTTTCCATTCGCTCTTGATGAGCTGAATGAGGGTCCAAATGACGGAGCAAGCAGAGTTATAATATGTTATTGGTACTTGTGGATTTTGACACTGCATCAATAGTTTTCTTTAAATTAAGAAAGCACAAATGGACAGTAACCCTTACAGTCATCCCTACAGTCGACCAATGTGATCACCTTAATGTTGGTTCTTGAATGAAGTCCAGATTAATACTAACACATATTAACTTTTGCTAAAAAAAAGTTCTATTTGCATTAATATAAAACAAAAAAGGTTCTATAATTAGTGTTATAATTTTTTCTTTGACTTTATTTAGTTTTCATGTTTGATTCATTTTTTTAAGCCTGGAAGAGGTTAAAGGAAATATATATACATTTTATTTTTTGTCACTGAAGAGAAGGATGGACATTTCTGCTTGTAGACATTAAACTAGGGCATAAAAGCAACCTGCGTGGCAGTGCTATCCTTACATTAAAACGGAACGACTCCCAATGATTGTCCTGAAAGACCTGCAGATTTAAGTTTTGTGAACAAATGAATACAAAATGTGACTCTTTAGACAGTCGGATCAAACTTATCCCTGTCTGTCTATTGTCAGGAGGCAGATTCCCAGTGGTCTACATTTTACTGCCTAAATTAATCCAGTATTAACAATTCAATCACAGCTATACTTGGATGTATATATCAGCTTCTTGTGGAAACAAATTCTTGCAGAATCTGGCCTTAAGGAAACTTTTGAGAGAAAAAATTGCAAAATATTTGCAGCTATTTTATTAATACAAAACAAACCAACAACAAAAATACTGATTTTTTCTTTACTTTGAGGTTAAAGGACACAATTGTTCAGCCTACCAGCTAAGTACTGCACATGAAGTTTAAACCTTTTGTCCTCATTTTGCTCAGGCAGTTGTACACCATAGATTTGGCAGCAACACCTTTATTTTATATCTCAAAAATATTTTGCATACTTTTGCAAACAATGCTGAATTTGGAAAACTTTTTGTTTGAAATTTTTTGTTACAATTTTTTTCACTTTCATTACTTCCATGATGTTGCTGTCAGGATAGAAGAAGAGGAGCTTGTGGGGGATTAAAACTACTGTACCTCTGTGTTCACCTGGACAACAGAATCAAGTAGAATCGCAACTGTGAAGTGATGCACAAGATGGAACAGAGCAGACTGTACTTCCCAAGGAAGCTTAGGTCCTTCTGTCTTTAAGGTAAGATGCTGTAGCTCTTCTGTCAGTCTGTTGTGGACAGTGTGATCTCTCTACTGCTGAGGTAACAGCATCAGAGCAAAAGACCTAAAGAAGCTTTCTCTGCAGGATCAATTAACTATTTTTTTCTCATTGAATTAAATACCAATCATATCTATTTCTTTTTATTTTATGTTCAGCAGCACAGATTTCTTTTTTAATGCCAAGGAGAAGGGTAACAGAGAAGCATTACCTCTAAACTGTATAAATTATCTAAAAGAGACTAAAAAGTGTATTTAACATTAATGTGAGCAGGTAAATAAGAAGATCTGCCAATGGAATAAGTATTTTACCCTAAAAATATTTGATAATTACACATTATGCTCTTGAAATGAGAGACTACAGTTGTTTTTTTTTCTCCCATTTTTAATTTTTCATTCCATTGACAGAGGGTCACAAGAAAAAAACCCTTATTTTAAGAAAGATTGACTTACTTAGATTACTTTTTTTTTTTTACAGTGTAATCCATTTTTCCACAACTGCTAAATCTAACATACCAAAGAAACCCACATATAGCTGTTTATATATAATAATAGTTTTCCTGCACAAAGCATTGCTGTACCTCTGAATAACAACTGTTTTATTTATTTTAATTTATTTTGTGGAAAATAGGCAAAACGTTTGATCTTTCTGACATATTTGTACAGACACACACCTCGCTAATGCTAAATTATAATGGACCCAAGATGATGAGACATTCTGTTATCTGGATGAAGCCCCGTGATCCGCTGTCACATGAAGGCTCATCCACCAAGGGCAGCACCTTTTTATATTTTATTTATTTTGTGTGCTGACATGCAGCTACACACTGTCCATCCTTTGAGGCCTGTCAAACTGCCAGAAAGTAGTCATCCAGCAGCTTTTGTGGCAAATCTCTGAATGAACACTCCTAAATGTCTTCCAACAATAGTGGGCTACGGATAGAGGTCAAACAGAGGTGAGAGCTGGTGCACAGCAAGTAAGCCAGGCACAGATGGATGTTGAGAACGAAAGGATAAATGAATGAAAGGATAACCGGGGAACTTCTATCAAAAATCCCGTTCTCTCAATTATCATTCTTCTGTCCGACTCTGTAAATAGGCTTAAGGAACTAGCAGGTGTAAAACTAAAAAAAATCAAGACTTTGTGGAAGAGTTGCAAGAAGAAAGTAATATAAGTGTTTAGAGTTTTCTTTTTTACTACAAACCCTGTAGAGGAAAGTGTAAACATGTTAAAATGGGTACTCTAATAAAATAAAACCAAAATGTTCTCCTTTACATTCATGTAAAACTCTTTGTGTAACCGAAAACTAACACTAAAAGTCATCTTAAGACATTCTTCAACAGGAAAGCGTGTCTGAGTTGATCCAGCTGAAGGGTAATTGATAATTAACACAGTAATAACATAAAAAACGTGACATAAAGATCAAGAACTTATTAAAAATATATTAAGAAAAAGAGGAAAGTAAAATACGAGTAAGTAAACTTCGACTACAGCATCAAGTTTAGGTACATTAAGAGTCATTGAGAATTATGACTAGACAGTAAACTGATATATCTCGCTACTATTTTTCAAAGCATGTCTGTTTTGGAACACAAAATAACACCTCTCAGATAGAAAGGTATGGAAGCATATTGCATTCATCAAAGAAAAAAACAAAAAAGACAGCTTATTTCATAATTACGAGATCTTTTCTCATAATTACAAGATAATAACTCATAATTATGAGATAAGATCTCATAATTACGGGATACAGATCTCGAAATTAAGAGATCTTATCTTGTAATATCAGACAAGATCTAATAATTACAAGATCGTATCTATGTATTTGGTCATGATTACTCAAGCTGTTAATGTAGTATCTCTAAGAAATCTGGTCTTCATGATTACTTAAAAATATCTGCATCTGTTCCACTGAACATTTCTCTGTACCGAGGTCCGACCTGATACACGTTGGAGTTGCGCTGCTGTTTTTCTCTTCATCAATAAAGTACCCTGCAATAACCCTGGGTTTACTACTTGTGGAGTAAGCATGCAGCCATATGACCAAACACGAAAATCTGTCAACAGCTCCGTTAATACAGATTCCGTATGGTTTTAGTTTGTCATATAAGTCAACATTGACGCATGAAGTTGGGAACTGGGTTTCTATAGAGACGTGGTCTTAGACGATTCTGAAGCCTCAGCTTTACTCCATAAGGATCTAGGATTTTTGAGCATGCACTAAGCAGTTTTTTAGGAAACCACCAAGCCAGCTGGAATGCATTTCAGATGCATTAATTTATCGTCATAAAGCATCCAGTGCTGGTTTAAATGCTCCTGCAGGAACAATGCAACTTCCAGCAAGTCAGAGTAGAGTTGTTTTTTTCGCCTAAAAATCATAAGGACTTAAGGTACCAGCAGAATGCTGACAAACTAAAACTAATTACGTCCACATTGAGGAAACTAAGTATTTCCCAGTGTCGCATACCTAAAAGGAAATAAAAGCATATTAAATCCGACAACCAACTCATTGTTCACATTTAATGTAGCGTCGCTCAGCAATGAACGTCCTTCCTGATCTCCTTAATATGACATTATCTCATAATTGTGACATTTATCTCATAATTATTAGATAGGATCTTATAATATTGAGATCAGGATCTCCGGATTACGAGATCAGTATCTCGTAATTAGGAGATTGTTTGCCTGGAAGAATAGGCAAGGCCAACAATTCCCTTTAACGACCCCCTTTCAGAGACATAGACAGGTATGGGACTTTGCTAACAAAAGAAGCCAAACGACCCCCATTCCAAAGGGGTGGACCCATTCGTCCTTTTCAATTTGCATGCTTTCTAAACAAAAACAAGGCCTTGGTGGGCTCTGTATATAGCCTTGAACTCAAAACTATTCCAGATATTTTGAATTGAATAATTTGATATTTTGGATGGGAACCGAAATGTCTTCAAACTTGGAAACAAAGTCCAGTGGATTGTTTTTTTGTTGTTGTTGTTTACTGTAGCCTGGATGGCTGAGAATCTTCACCAGCAACAGTTTATAATAAATTATGGAACCTTGGGGAACTGCAGGTTTCTTATGTAAAGGTTGAATGATGCGAACCAAACACTGTAAATAGTAATAACTATTGTTTGGAGACAGATTGTTGAGCAAATGAGACATTTTTAAACTTGTCTAAAAAAGCATGTTTACACATAGCTCTTTATTTAAAGCACAGAGGTACAAGCATTATTTGAGAATGAAACTAAAATTAACATAACCTATATTGAAAGGCTTCCCTTCTTTTTTTGTGATTTAATCAAGGCTGCATGAGAATTATTTGTTTTACATTTTTTCATACATTTAGGTTTATTTGTTTATTATCAGCTCGTATGAAGAGGCTTCAGTTCTGAACATAGCTTTAGGTATTGCTAAGTGAAAATCAGAGATTTCCTTTTTTTGCACTTTTTTAATACAAACTGGTTTTTTGTGGTAACAGTGTTGAAGACATATTTACCATCCATACTTGATCAATTACTTTGGTTTCCAATCAGAAATACTGACAGAAGTTTACAAGTCATCCTGAAAATAGACATAACACAATCTAAAATATATGCAACATTAAACAGTATAGAAAACAAGAATGTGGACCTATGGGCAAATACGAAATAAAAAATTAGCAAAATGTTAAAATTAGAGACCATGTTTAACACTGAGCTTAAAATCCCTTCCTGCCATGTTGAGAGACATTCTCCCTGTGTGTTTCTAGGTTACAGTGTGCGTTTAGTCAGATACTGACAGCTACTGAGTGTTGACATTTCTTAGAATCTGAACTGCAGCTCAGGCACCTCAGCAAGAAAACCAAAAAAATGGGTCAGTGTCTGCAGTCACGCTCCTGGCTCCCATGCTCTTTGTAGAGCGTGTGAGCTGGCTGATAGAGGTCCGTGTTCATTCGCAGCTGAAGTCCAAATGCAAGAGACCAACAATGGCCATCAGTGGCACTGTTATTAACCCTAATCTCAGACTACTTTTGGATGCAACCTTGTCTTCCCTAAACATTTATTTCTAGGAGTTCCACATGAACAAAAAGAGCTGCTCAACTTCAAACTGAATCTGCAGTCGACTTGCTGCAAAAAAAACCCCCAAAAAAACAACACTCATGTGAGACATAAATGCGCAGGAATAAAGGTCAAAGTTTAATTTCTTAATAGTCTAAGATCTGAATTTGTTTGTCGTTTGAAAAGATTCAAAATATATTGTTTTTATTTTATTTTTTACAATTTTACTGTACAAAATGACTGTAAAAGTAATGGTTACTCATATGGTTTAAAGACATTTACTGAACGCATGCAATGTATAAACAGAATAGCACAATAATAGTGATGTATTATTAATCAATTCATGATTGCTGCCGTGACTCTCTTATTTAAAAGCAGGGTTAAGTTAATCATTTCATTTATTTTTTCCCTACAAAATTGTTCCAGTGTTTTAACAGGGCTGATCCTGGAGCCACGGTCCTAAACTGGTTTGGCAAAAGAACCAGTTTGGTCATCCACAGGCTGAAAGCCCAGTCTGGGCAACATCACACCCTCACCACAATCTATCTGGTTAATCAACAGCAAAACAGTTAATATTTTATACGCCATGTTTTTAGATTATGATTATATTGAAATAAAACTAAGTCTGAAGTGCTAAACATAGTCCAAACAACATTTTGATTGCTTTTATATTTTAGCATTTCTATCAGCTTATCTAGCATGCGGCAAAGCTGTATTTCAGTCACCCCTGAGTTAAATAGGCTCACGTTTTTTGTGCTTTTAAATTGTTTACTTCAATGGAAAAATAATTTATAAATGCTTCATAAATGCTTGGTGAATCTTAGAATGTGAGAAACACAACAGCATCTGCATTAACCAACAGTGTTTGGTCTGTTTAGTTCAAAATTATACACATGGTCCAGTAGATCTGACCTCTATCTTGCAGCTACTAAATATAATGTCCCTGCAACAGGAATGTATCATCATGGCAATAGGTACTGTATGATTAAATTTTATCCATACAAAAGCATAATTATTCTGCATTCCTTTTATGAGTAGTGAGATTTGGGCTGAAAATAAGGAACATCAGTAAAAATCCGGTGTCTGCCAGGAAGCCCTTTGATATCCCCTTTGCCAGCAGAGGGGCCGGATCCATCGCAGAATGAAAGTCAACTTCTCTGCAAAACAAGAAAAATGATTTCCTTTTGCTACACAATGGATGTTTTTTTCCTGTGTCAGAGAGTCACCGGTACATAGCTCAGTCTTCTGGAATGGGGGAATTACAGTTCCCATGATAGATGTAAACAGGTCCCTCACAACCATAATACAGCTGAAACACATCTCCATAGCCGTGATCCCTCCACCAGGTGCACAGCTGCCGGTTCCAACCACAGGCCAGAGAGTAAAACAGTTCAGGATGCTCCATGCCGATCATTGTAAAGAAGTCCTGGTCCCCGAGGTGACCCCTGAAGCGATACTGGTCTGCTAGTTTGGCCACGTTGCTGGGCTTCAGCAGCTGGTTATAGAGAGCCGAAGCCCTCATGGCGCTTAGGTCCAAGAGCATTACACCGCTGTTAAAGCCTGGGAGCCCGTCAGGTGGAGGTTCTCCTACTCTGGTCTTAGGGTTCTCCTTACGGTACTGCCAGAAGGTGTGTCTGAGGGAAAAAGAAGTGTTAAGAAGTATATAAGTTAGCAAAACGGAACTTTGTAAACATTGACAAGTATGGGTATTTATTTCTACCAGAACTGTGCTCAACAAAACACCCTCGGATCGTTTACGTTAATCTGGTTCTCTCCCTTGGTAATTAATTAACTTAGTGTTAACAGACACCCCCGACCTCCATAATGCACACCCATTTTTTAATAATAATAAAAAAAGAAAACTTAATTTAATTGGTAACTTAACACCCATATATGACTTTAGCTAAATACTTGTGTAAAATATATATGTCTTTTGTGACAATAATGGTCGGTCAATAATTTGTTGACTTCAAACTGGTCTCTTTTACATGTAATACTTTATGTTCCAGTGTGAAACTGTACTACATCTCTGTAGGAAGCTTGTTGTTATCAGAAATCAGACCTACAACAGGGGTGTGATCAACAAACCGCAAAATACTGTTAGTAAGAAGGAATTGGGGAACATTCATGAGCGAATAATGAATCGAGAATGGCCCCCAGGACACACCTCTGGGGTATCTCTTTGTTCATGATGAGGCTCAGCGATGTGTGCTGACTAGGGGTGGAATGGTTCACAAAATCCACAGTTCGGTTCACGGTTTCGTGGTCACGGTTTTCGGTTCGGTTCAGTATATGTTTGTTGTTACATCGAAAAAAAAATGGATCATGGATCATTTCCGCATGTTTTGCTGCTTTGAATTTTATCACCTCACGCATGCCCTCTACGATCTCCAAGGAACTCAGAGCGGAGTGGACGGGAGCCACAGCGGAGGCTGTAGGCTTTGCTTTGTGCAGGCGGTCTGGAGTGTAGCAGGGCGGAGCGGAGCGGAGCGCTGACAGAGTATGAGGGATTTCGGGGTTAGCCTGACATGTTGGTCATGTTGCTGTTAGCATAAACAAAACGTGTTGCACAATGCTTGCACACTGTTGCACTTTTATCCACAACTTTCTTTCCGCCGTCAT